TATATATATATATATATATATATATATATATATATATAGGGTGTTAGTATTTTTTTATTTGAAAAATACTTATATCTATTTAAAAGAACACTATGGTTTTACTGTTCTTTCCTAAATTGCTTTATAGAGAGAGATGTGGGTTTGAGTCCCACATTGAAGACGATAGAGTTTATTTAGCTGTATTTAAGAGCATGTATTCTCATGCAATATACTCTAAATACAAAAGAGAGAAGGTGCATGTATATGCGATAAAATTACGATTGTATTTGATGCTAAAATTTATGGAATTGTATATAATGAGACTATTTACTTTTCATTATTCCATTTTCCCAAGTACGTAAAAACAATTCAAATTGAAGTAAATTGATAATAATCTTTTCAAAAAGGAAACTGACCCAAATTAAATACCTACTAACCCAAATTCAAATATTCAGAATCTTATTCAATTTGGAAACTACTACCTACTCCTAATTCAAATTATGAATTTCCTAACATTCCACCCCCCTCTACAGATTAACCTTGTCGTAAGGTTGGAAATCTGGAAAGCGTTCACACCATCCATGATACACCTACCATGTCACATCCTCCTTAGGCAGGTCAGCCCACAGAACCAACACTTCAGGCATTGCACCATCTGCCTGTGAAGTATAGCTTCAGGTTGAGGAAGAGCTCTATCCTTCGCCAATGGTGGCAGCTCTGGTTCGGCCCAACCTCTAGTCCAAGCTTCTTCTCGCCTAATGATACATGAAACATCGTATGCAGTTTCGATCCTGTAGGAAGATTGAGCTTGTAGGCAACCAACCTAATGTGCTGAGCAATCAGAAATGGTCCATAATTCCGCGGGGCCAATTTAAGGTTGGGACGTAAGGCTAGAGAAGTTTGTCGGTATGGCTGCAACCTTAAATAGACCATGTCTCCCATTGTAAATTCAATTCTCTCTGAACAGTATCTATCGTGCTGCTCTTTCATTCGGTTACGAGCCATAGCTAGATTCTCTTTCAATTCCGATAGTATCTGGTCGCGACTTTGCAACTCTCAGTTCACCTCATCGACATATGTCATCCCTGGTTGGTGATTGTCTGCCATACACCACGTCGAATGGAGACATTTTTTCTTTTTGATAGAAAATAGAGACATTTTTGTTTTTTTTCTTTTGATAGAAAATGGAGACATTTTTATTGTTGTCTGATAAGCAATGTTTTACCACCATTCAGCCCATGGGAGCCATTTTGCCCCTTGTCGTGGTCGATTGCCAGTGAAACACCAAAAATAGGTTCCTAAACAATGGTTAAGGACCTCAGTTTGCCCATCCATTTGCAGGTGGTAAACGGTGCTCATTCACAGTTGTGTTTCCTACCATTTAAAATATCCTTGCCAAACCTCACTTATGAGCAACCAAAACCATACCCGCAATGGTTTAAAAAACGGATCGGTGACCCTGATCGGGCTTCCAAAAAACCGATCCGGATCAGCGAATCGGCGATTAGGATCGGGAATCGGGTGAATCGATCAGAATAAAGC